ATATGTCGGCGCCGCCGTCATTATTTTGTAAACTGCGAATGTAATGGGCGAGCAGTGAACAAACAACTGACCGACGTCACTTCAACCCCACCACCGAGTGATATATAAAGCAGCGCAAGCGCAAGCTCGAGTCAGTCGTTCGTCGATCGTTGCCCAGTTCACACGTTACGCAATCGCTGAGTAATTTTATTGTTGGTTTTATTTGAGTGTTTCCTTTATATAATCAGTGCTGAATTATTCAATTATTATAATTAAAAATTAATGTGAAAGTAAGTTCATTTAATCGAAATAAACTAAGTGATTGTGTGAAGCTCTTTGTTTTATTTTCAAATAATGTCGGACCCTGATCCTACGTGTTCATATTCATAATATCTTGTTAGCACTTTCTACACATTCAACACTAAGTAATTAAATACAGGCAGTAATATTAATTTCAAGTTTATGTACTACTGAACCATATGTAATTATTAGGGTTTTACCTTAACGTTTATTAGTTAAACATAACTGTGCTGTATAATTCAGGGAACTAAAAGATTAGTTGTCTAGTTTTCTCATTATTGAGAACATGGTTTACTACAATATTAACTTACTACTACTCCATGATTTCATATATGAGCGGCATTTATAAACACCGTACACTTTCTTCGTGCAACTTAAGCTACCCCGTTTTCATATAACGATTTTTCTTTCGCGATTATAGTTTATAGAGCTGTATATAATTACTGTATGTAAATATATGTACTATTGTGTACACACAGGACAAAAATTAAAAGTTCAAATTAAAAAAAAATTTATAAGTAATTAAAAAAATATATAAGTAATTAATAATATATAATAATTATATATAAGTAATTAAAAAAAAATTCAAAGTTCAAATTAATCGATCCAATACAATGGTCATAAGCAATAAGCTATTTAATTAATTTCATTTCATTATTAAACTGTCAAACACCAAGCGGTCACCGGTGACCGCAACCTATTGTTCTATAATTGTGTCTATAATGACGGTACTTGACGAGTTAAAGACCGAAAAATGATTTTTATATATCTACATATGTATAATAACACCAATTTAACTAAAAACTGCGGCTTACTCTCGTGAATATACTGAGAAAAGCTCTCATCGTCCTAACTAGGACGACTGTCTTTTTTACCGCGAAGTTTGATTACTGATTAGGAATAACTGTTCTAAATTGGATAAGTAACATTTGTGGGCAATAGATAGTATGCACCTATTTATCGTTTAACGCCGTAAAGGAAGAGATGAATCTACTTATTATTCGCGTACAACATAACACATGGGAAAAGACTTAGGACTTGCATTTCTCAAATAGACATTACGGAAAGGTCTTTATTCTTTATACCTAAAATTATTGAAATTTCGTCTTTACGCAAAACTATTTCTATTTTTATGTGGAGTTTACCTTCATGTAGCTCTAACGGTACAGCTTAAATACGGCTGCAGTTGGTTGATATAACGTAAATATTACCAGACAAGAAAGAATGTATAACAAGAAACCACTTAATTTCTAAAGAAACAGTTTCGTTATAAACTAGGTGAACATTGGATGAACATGTTTATATTTCATCTCATTTATTCTATTTGTTTATTTATCTATCATTTTATGTACACCATACAGTAGACAATATTTCAGAGGACAACACATTACAAGCATGAGGTACATAGGTACTGCATATACCTTAAGGGATTTCTTAGTGCAGACCTGCGACAGGGAAAGGAATTTAAACATTAGATACAGTGTAAATGTTACATTCAATATCTGAATTTTGGGAGAAGATAATAATCCCATGACTTCGCTTTGGGTGATACGAGTGAAAGTGTCACACAGTTACAGACCAAAAGTCACCCCGTCCCTACTTTTGCTTTGGTCCGGAACCCTGGTAATCCGCTAGGCCTTCTGCAACTGCGAGCTGCCTTTAGGCTTTTAAGGCTCATAAAGTGAAGCTATTTAAATTATACATTTGAATTGTTTTGTTAAAGGAAGAATAATGTTGCAGATTGTCCCGGGCGGCGGTCGTTGGGGTGCTCCACACGCCGCCGGCCTTGTCGACTCCTGGTTTCAGATGCAGGTTAGTGAATACATTAAACATAAGCTTAGGAACAAAAATACCGTGACATGTATGCCAGCTGAAAGCTTTTGAATACACCGAAAGGCTTGGAGGCTCGGCTTCAAAGCCTCGATCACATGCGAAAAATAGCCTTTCGGTAATTTATCGATTACATTCCAGTGAGTCTCTCTTAGTATACTTTACCATTGCACTACTAGACAAATGACACCCTTATATGGTAGATATTCCTTCAATGCGCATGAAGCGTTTTGCTTTGAGATTAGCACAAGAAAATTGTGCGAATCGCTGAGGAGTAGAATTCCTTGCCAAAGTGTGTTTTTCCTGAAACGTACAACAATACAACTTGAGTATCTTCAACTACCGAGTGAACAGGTTGCTCTTGGCTAGCCGTGCTCCATCATGGTATTGATTGCCTCATTCTTCTTATCATCAGGCGAGATTGAAACAAAAAAAGGTTAATTACAAATATTTCTCGTGTTTTAAAACTATTGTTCAATCATTGCAACTCACGTAGAAAGTCAACCTTGTTGTTATTGCGAGTAGAAATAATAAATAATAAATATGTTTGCCTATTTAAACACTAATAAAAACTTTACAGTCAAGATCTTCTTAATATAAGTATTTAGATGTTAGTTGTAGTTATCAGTAGATACGTATGTATGTAATGTATGTAGTATAAAATTAAGTATAATAAAATCTTGTTGAAGTTCTTCATTATCTTTCACAGAAAACTGTCATTTAGATAAGTTCATGGTCTAGTGAACTTTAGTGTATATTTTTTGCTATTAGTTCAGATAGTCCCAAATATTCTACTGATAAGTTACTTATTACATAAAGCTAGTGTCTATTAATTCGTTAAATATATCGAATCCTTCGATAATAGCCCATAAATCATTCCATCATAGAATAACTTGTGTCTATTAAAGTGATTACAGTAACTTATTATTCTCAAGTACATCTGCTAAGCACATGGTTCTGACTTTCTTTCGATTGATTGTTCTTAAAATCTTTGAAGAATGGTTCTATTACATAAATTAGCCATTGTCCTCATCCTCGCTTTTAGGGCTAAATCGACTTTTATAGATATAAATAAATACATTCTCAAAATAAACTCATTGGGAATGTCTATAAATAAATGCATGCTATGTGATGTGACACAGATCCCGACTTTGATTGTCTTCCAATCACAAGAAAATTTATCGAACGAAATAAAACGTTTATCCTAAGGAAAATTGAAGAGGCGAACACTTAAGAACCGACAAGAATACACGGATAGAATGGAAACGTAATGAATAAGCGCACTTTACCTATACGGTTAACCGACAATAAATGATTGTAATAATGCATTTTGCACTCTACACTGCGATTTTTAAGGTTAATTTTTAAATGACTCATTTTATTGGTAATAGCGAGGGCTAATTTCTATGCGGTACACGGCAGTGACATTGTCACGTATGAACGACATGTGTGTGTATATCTATTTACGTAGATCTAATAACAATAAATGTGTTTGTAACACAAGAATGCGTCACCGTTGCTTATCATTTATCTAGCGTCGTCCGCGTCTGCGGTTTGCAGTGCTTTCCCTTCATAGATTGACGATATAAATAATACATTGTAGACGTTGTCCTTGAATTTTCTGTGCAACATCTCATCCATTCATCTCCATAGTTCTGCGTCATCTGTTGAAGATACAGCTGTTCTTTAATCTGATCTAAGCACAATTTATTGGTTGGCATCTATCCTTAAATAAAAGGAAATTAATTGAATGTTGCTTGCTTTTATCTGTATATAAACAAATCGTAGATTTCCCGTCGAAAGATTAATAATATGGGTATCGGAGCTTATCTAGTGTAATTAGTTTTGTGTCCGTAACTACCTAAATGTGTGAAGTAAAGCAGATTCCTGCTTACTTGCATACAAACTTTTTTATTTAATCTTCTAAAATACCGTAAAGTACATTAACCAAAACTAAAGTGTGTTTCCGCCAAGCAAGTTCAAGTTAATGTCTCGTCATATTCAAGTTAGTTCCCGATACTTTATTACTTTCCCCGTTGGAGTTAACATTTCCACGGCGGCTCCTACGCCGTGCGTCGTCGAGGGACTCGTAAAACTTTAGGAGTTAATTAATAACTATGGATGATCGAGTAAGCTTTAACACAATACCATTTTAATTTACAACATTAATTTTTATTTCAGTAGAAATTATTGAATTTCAAACGAATAATGAATTACGTTGTCATGACTTAATTTACGCCTGTTGGCTTGCTAAATCGGTTTTAGTAAAATTTAAACAGGTTGGTCGATAGACACTCAGTTTAAGTTAGAACATGGGTTCAGTTGAGTGGAGCCAAAATGTTTGAAAGCAGCTAACTGACAGATTACACCAATTTACACGGAACATAACGTGTGGAGACACCATTGTCAGGGAGCAGGCACCGTGGCACGTATGGGAATCTGTATTGTGTAATGCGGGGGCTAATAGAGCATGGCAATTTCGGTTTGTACGCTTAAATTATGTACGGTCTTTGCCAGAGACCATCGGCATCCGAGAGTGTTCAGTGGCTAGTAACGATTTCCTTATACCACAAATACAGTTTCAAGGTGTAACCACCCCGTCATTCTTACAAAATTAATCCATTTCCATATATCTTTTAAAAGTTTCTTTCTTTGGATGATTGTTTATCAATCACGCTGAAATTACTTAACGGATAGAATGCTATATATGCTAATTAAATGTTCCCACGGGAAAAAACAGGAGTCGTATTCTACATGGACGAAGTCGCGGTCAACAGCTAGTATACTTCATATATAAAGCTAAAGGGCTTCTTTGCTTATTTGAATGCACTAATTTCAGGAATTATTAGCTTAATTTTTTGTGTGGGATAGTGTATTTACTGAGGAAGGCTATAAAAAATAGGAGCCGTGAACAGCGAGTGAAACAATGTAAGAGCTAGTATAATGTATTGATATAAAGTTTTAAACATATAAAATAAAAATGGGTAACTTGGAAGTAGTACACATAAATAAACGTTTTCATTACACAGTCGATAGAGCTTTGCCTAATTAATGTTTAGTGAGTACCTTATTATTAATTTATTATTATGCAGAAGGTGTTAATGACAGTTTAATGCAATATGAATAAAACTTAAAATCCTAACATCGTATTCTTATTTTGCATGTTAGACAAAGAGTTACTAATTGACATGGGACTTAATTTTAGGTTACTTTCCACGCAATATCACTTACAAAGGGAGACCTTCAGAATCCAAAACTGGACGAATTCTAAGTTTTGTTTTAGACGTAGGTACTTAATTATGAGAAAACCCTACATCATTTTTAGGTAAAATGTTTAAAATAGAACTGAACAAAGCTAACGTTTCGACCCTATACAATATACATTTTATATTATACAACCGTTGTGTAACTCGAAACGACAACAACTTTAACAAAAAATAAAATACTAAATTATTGTATTCCCAGCAGGTACGTATAGAGGGTATAAACCCCAATTACGGTCGCTCACACAAAGACGACCTTTAAAAATGAGTCGTGTGTTAATGTAGAGAGCGTCTATATTGTACTGGACACACGTTTCAGCGCATCATTGACACATCCCCTTTATGTTTTAAGGTCAAATCAATCAACTCAGCTTATTTTATGAGCTAAGTTTTTTATTTAATTACAAGAGCTCGCAACTTTCTTTGTTGGAATCCTCGACAACGCCTTTCTTGCTGCCTTTAATTTGAGAAGACCATTCATTACCTTAGATCTTGTAGATAGATACAATTAAGAAGTATCTTTAATAGTGACTGATTAAAGGTATTAGTTAAATGACGTAATTTACCACATACGCTACTTTTAGACGACAAACTTCTGATCGTAGAACTAATTTAAACACTCAACCTCTCAACTCTCAACTTTTATAACTATACTTAATGTCTATATAATATTATCGTAATACATTGTTGCGAATAGATTCATAAGGGAGGAAATACCGAGTTGTATAGCACGGTAGAGTTGTTATCACTAGTATTGATTACAGACCAAGCGGCCATTAAACCGGGTTTTTTAACGCCTGTCTATAAGTAAACGTAAAATGGAAAGTTAGTTTTTCCTACAGCGCTAAACGTAACGCTTGCGTTATAATTTTAACTTGATAACTATGATAGCGGTACTTAATAGCTCAACGAATATATCGCGAATTAGAACTCACTGATGAATTTTTAAATATAGAAAATATTTTAAAATAACGGTGAGAAAATATTCGTAGGCAGTGACTCCATCGAGGCTGTTGAGCACTATGTCATGACTCCAATTCTTGCATTAGATGACTCAGAGCCTAGATTGATGTCAGATAGTTAAGACGGTGGTGGAGGCACGAACATAAAGAGCGCTTCTCAAGCGGGTTCGAAATCTGGTCAGGAACATTTTCTCTAAGTTACATTTGGTTTCGTATCATATAGTTCTTGCATTGCACATACTGAAAGAAAACCATTACTGTTCTCATCATCTCATCAGAGTACATTCAGTAAGTATGGTGATCAATGCTCATTCCACCTCATTACAAGAGGATACATGTAACTAGCAGTGGAACAGCTATATAATGAATGATTAAGAAAAATGCTATATTAGTAATAGTAAAGACACATAAAAATTAAAAAAATATTAAAAAAGTTTTTGCTCCTTAATGAAATATGTAATTACTATGGAACAATTGAAGATCCATGTTTAATTATAAGTATAAAATACGTTAAAGAATAATGTATAATGACACATTCATATTCGAAAAACGAAACAATTCAAGCCTATTAAATTTTTATGACGATGTGACATCATTAAAGGTTATAAAAATACAAAAAGACAATCATATCAACCGGTCCTGGGTGAATAAGATTGTTTTATAAAATCCGTACTATGGGATACTAAAGTCCACTGGAGTGTATAGAGGAAGTCGCAAGTTTGTCGTTATTAGTCCGAGACCACTCATGCGCAAACGC